TAGTTAGAAAGAAGGCAAACAATCAGGGGACAGAGGAATTCCAGCTCCTGACTGTCTAGTCTGTCCCAGCCCATCAACGACCCTGCGGGATGGTTAACATCATTCCAGTTTTGCAGATTAGGAAACAGGCTGAAAGAGGTGGGGGCTGGGTTTGGGTGCACAGTTAATTTAAGTGCCGCTGGACCCCTCACTTCCCATTGCCTGAAGGCACCTTAATCCCCACTGGGACCCCTGCGGTCCCCTGATAGCCCAACACCCTGATCAAAGGGCCCCTGTGGGAGTGGGAACTCCTCTTACTGTGGAGAGTTCCCTGCACTGAGATGCCATGCATCAGCCGGCTCCCACTCACCCCAGGTTAACAACTCCCCAGCTGTGCAGTCTCCCGACTCATTTCCCTACCTGCCATGTACCCCGGTCCTTACCACCGAGTGTATTGCAGGAATTCAGGCACAGGGATGCCCAAAGCAACATGAGACCACCGGCTATACAAACAGCAGACTCCCAGCCCCACCTGGGTTCCGAGGGGACAGTAGGCGTCCTCACCTTTCATATGTCTAAGACAATCTTCTTCTTCAGCTGGAGGTTATAGAGAAAAATAAAAAGTCCAAAACATAGTTTGGTGAGGAATTCCTCCAAGGACCTGACTCCAGACACTACAACCAGGTGTACCTACCCCCCGGACTTGGGATGAAGGTAGATTATTGATCAGCACAACCCCCGGTGGCCCAGCTCCTGGGCTTGGCTGCCCAGAGGGGGCTGGCAGAATGGGTAAGGCCAGGGCACTCAGGAAGAGCACAGAGGACCTGACCTCTCCCCTCCGCCCTTGGAAACCCTTCCCCAAATCTCAAGGCATCGGACAGAGAGCAGCCACAACAATAAGGGGATGCTCCCATCTCTTCACTCACTCCTGTCGGTTCACATACGTGCTGAGCATCCACTGGGTCCCAGGACATGACACACAGGATGGCCAATGGGACAGGCTTGGTCCTTCCCCCTGGACCCTGTTCAATCTGATGGAAGAATGATCCCTCATAAAGAGTTTCTCAAAATTATACAGAGACAGAAGACATACTGCAAAGTGAACCAATTTTAAAAATATATATGAAGATCCCCCAGTCTCCCCGCCTAAGGTTAACAGCATAAAGCAAAAGATCTTGCCTTTGATCACCAAGAAATTTTTCACCCCCTCTCAGGTGGAAAGGAGAGTTATTCTTTGAGCAGGACACAGAAGTGCTCCACTGGATTGGAGCAGGACCTCTGCATTCATTCAGCAAATGTGTATAAGCTCCTACTACGTACTGGAATCTCCTAACTAGACCCGTTCCCAAGGGTCTCAGGCTTTGTCAGTCAACAAAATAGACACGACTCCCCATCACTGGGGGCTCAGAGTTTTAGCAGAGGAAACAGGCAGCATGTTGGGGGTAGCAAGAGCTTGGAAAAATTAAAAAAATAAGAGTGATATGATCAAACTCAGGTGATGGCGGTGGGGTGGGAGGCAGGCAGGAGGGAATAAGGCAATCCTGGCAGATCTCACGGAGTAATACTTTGAAGCAGAATAGATCCGGAGGAAGGAGGAAGAGCTGGAGCCAGAGGCCCCCAGACTGAGGGGGAGAGTGTGGGCGGAGAGGCACAGCTCGCCGGGTCCTGAGGCCTTTGTGACGACTTTGGCTCCTAGTGAAATTTTGACCCGTTTAGTGAGTTTTTAGGGGAGGGTTGATGTAGTCCAACTTATGCTTTTGTGTTTGTGTTTTTTGGGGGGAGGTAATTTATTTATTTTAATGAAGGTTCTGGGGATTGAACCCAGGATCTCATGTATGCTAAGCATGAGCCCTACCACTGAGCTACACCCACCCCAATATATGCTTTTGCAGGCTCCCTCTGACTCTGTGTGGATGAGAGTTTGTAGGAAAGCAAAGATGGAAACAGGAGGCTATTGGTGTCCAGGAAGGGCTGAAGGTGGCTCTTAGGAGGGTGGGGATCAGGGAGCAGGTGGTTAATGAAGACAGAGTGTCCAGAATTTTCTAACAAGCTGGATTTGCTGTCTGTGTGCGTAAGAGAAAGAGAGAGAAAGGACATGGTTCCAACATCTGGACCTGGACAATGGGAGGGATGTCCTCTCCATCCACAGGGGATGGGACAAGGTGGGGCTGAGCAGGTGGAAAGGGGGTGGTATCAGCTCAGTTTTTCAATGTCATGGTTAAGGGGTGTATTAAATATTGCCACAGAAATGCCTAATAGGTAGAGGAGTCTGGCTTTATTTTCTTTTTAACATTTAAAAAATATAATTTAAATGTATTAATTGTATTATGTGAATGATTTGGGAATTTTATTTCATGCCAAGATATATGTTATATATAGCCAAATGGTAAATATATCAGAAAAGGGGAGAAATGAGGGCTTTCACATAAACTGACTGTCTATAATGTAGGTAAAATTTTAATAAAACCAGTCTTCAGTGCAAAAACCTCATCTTGGTATTTCATAAAAATAAATGAAAAAGGACTATGTTGATGTATCATTATTTCATGTTACATAATAGCCCCAAACATACACACTGTTTAACTATGAGGCTTGTAGAAATACTATTCGCTTTATTTACAGAAATACAGAAATGTTCTAAGGTAGAATAAGCATCTTAGTGGAAATAATACAGATTTGAGCATTTTACATGATATATATATACTGATTCAAAATTTGGAAAAGTACACAGTAGAACATATGTATGAATGTGAAAGCAAGATGAATAAAAGAAAAAGAATGTGAGTCTCAGGGATAAAGGTCCAGATGGAAAGGGCAAATCAGGGAGTTTGGAGAAATCGAGAAATTGATGACATGCCAACTTCCACGGCTGGTTGCTTCCACCAAAGGAATAGTAGAGAGAGAGAGGAGAGGCCCAGGAACCAACCCTGGGGCACACCCACAGTATATGTTTGAAAAAAAGAGAAGACATTGGCAAAGGACCAGCCAGCAGACCAAAAGCAGAAAGCAGACAGAGCGATGGGCTGGAGGTTGAGTGAAGCAGGAACACGGGGGAGGAGGGATGGAAGAGCTAGATCAAATGCTGCTGAGGGACCACGCATGATGACTGAAAATTGACCACTATATTTAGCTATGTGAGGTCACTGATGGCCTTGACAGAGCAGTTTCCATAGAGCTAGGGATCAGGGGAAAAGCCAGAGTGGGTGTAAAAGGGGATGGCTCAAGAGAAGATGCAGACAGTGAGTTTAAACTACTCCTTAAAGATTTGCTGCAAAGACACAGGGTGGCAACTGGTGGGGGTGAATTAGGTTAAAGGAGTGCTGTTTGTTTCTTTCAAGAGGATGGACGTTTATATACTGAAAGGAGCCAACTAGCAGGAGAACAAAAGAGATGAGGTAGTGAAACAGAGGATGGTTTTGGGAGTGACAACACAGAGAAGATGGGAGGGATGGGGCCCCGGGGACTTTTGGTGGATCTGGCTATCGATATCACTTGTAATAAGAGGTGGGGCACCGAGAGTGAGGTCACAGACATCAGAAGGTGAGCGGATGTGATGGGAGTTGCTTGTGAAACTTCTCTTCTGTTGGCTTGTTTGCTTGTTCAAAGTAGAAAAGTAAACTTACCAGCTGAGGAACGAGGAGGAAGAAAGAGTTACTGGAGTCATGAGCAGAAGATAAGAAAGAGCCTTCCAGGGAGAATGGGACAGTGAAAAGAGCAGAGGGAGACGGGGGAGTGCGCTCCCAGAAAGTTACATTTTCTCTTTGACTTCCCCAAATGTGTGATGTGTGATTACCCTTCCTGCTGTCTACAAAATAAAAATTAAGTATGGTTCAGAGGAAATGCTATTTCATTCTAAGAGGCTGCCTGTTTCTCAGGAATGGTCATCTTAAACTGCAAACATTACAAAAAAGGTTGAAAAATGAACCTGTGTACCTAAAATCCCCTGTTTTCTATTAATCTGGTTACTATTTAGTTCCCCTATCAATAACACATAACCAATACTGCCATGATGGAGGTACATCGATGCTTAAAAGGAAACGAAATCTGTATCCTTTTCCTAAATTCCATGGCTTCCTTAATATGCAGTTCCCCTTGGAATTTAGGAATGTCTGGTTTAAGAAGTGAGAAACAGTTTAAGATAGCCCCGGCTCAGAAATACACAGCACAACCGCATCTCAGAAGTATATACAGACGTAAAAAGTTTTAGAAGCAAAACTCTGTAACTACTCTTAAAGACTTTTGCAAACCTGGGCCTGCCCAGATGTTTCCAAACTGGAAA